CCAAAGTGAAATTGAAGTTGGAGGTGTCACCTTTTATAAAGTCACAGACTGCCACGGACAAAATTGTAAACGGGATGTTTGATATAATGCTCTTGTATGTCCGTGTCTTTCGATTTTGTTCATGCTTTACACAGCATGTAAAGGGCTGGTAGTAAACTTAGCAGCCCCATTTTATTTAGTTTTGGTGGTCACCTTGGACTTGCAAACAAAGGTTATATCATGTGGGCACTTGTGGGATTTCGATCTGTAGTGGATCATTTTGGACCCTTTGTTGTGCGACCGTTCAGAACTTGTGAAATCTGTTTGTAATTTACATTAGCTATGAAGTGTTTACTGAAATGATTGCTTGTGGATCCCGAATGAGACGCTTTCTCTAACTCGTTTTCTCTTTTGTAGGTCTTAAGGGATCATAGAAGGTTTCGAGGAGGCTGACCTTTACGGACGAACACACAAGGATGCCGCACGACTTAGGCAAAACCAGCTAAGTGTGTGACAGGACGACAACAATGATAAACATAAATGTTAAGGTGAGTATGAAGATGAACCCTCTTTCTAAAAGGTACGATAACCATGAAAACTGAAAAGTATGAATGTGGTGCTTAGGATCTACTAGCTAATCAAAATAAAATGGATATGGTAATAATGTTAGAGCAAGAGAGACAATATACGCAACTATGAACATAAGAGACCTTTTTTTGGCCATATTGTTGCTCCAACAATATTTGAGACTTGCCCCACTATTAACCCACCTTTGTACTGCAGGAGACAATAGACCACTGGAATAACCTGAACAATTTTCCCAGTAGAAGGAAGTTTAAACTTAAACGTTCATCCACTGGACCAACATCATGTCAATCTTCTTACGCATGATATAGACACTTGACAGTAGCTACCTCTGCAAAGATCGTTTATGTTGTAAGGCAGTTGAGCTGCATAATGTTCAGATGTTCAACATAGGCTCCAACTTGTGCAGAAGAAGCAATTCATATCCACCAAGGGTTTACTAATAATTGGCAGAGTTAGGACATGAGTAAAATCCTGCGACCAACCACTGAGAAAACCCACATTTCATGCATCAAAAAGGAAAAAAGAAGGGAAAAAGAACACCTTTGGGAACAAACATCAGTGACATCAATAAGAAGGATTAGAAGATATGAAGACCTACATTTCTACCCTTGGAACCAAAGTACTATAATCCTGTTCCTTGCAAAAGAACCTAATTCCAAGGTGCCAAATAAGAAAAAAATCGTCTGATCGTAAGGAAATAAAACGCATAGACAAACACACATACTGCTACATATGTATACATATAGAGAGAGAAAGAGAAAGAGAAAGCTCTAAGAAGATCATACCAGGAACTGGAAAAGGACTGCGGGCGTGCGTCTTCATGTACGCTTCATTGTCTGGGCCAAATAGATCCCTCTCGTCCTCCTCTTCCTCCACGTATTCGCCTCCCGTCTCGGCAGACCTGACAAGAGCAGTGGAGTTGCCGTCTTCCTCCTCGCCGTCGCTACTGCTTCGGCTGCTGCTGTCACTCGCGCTGCTGGAAGAGGAAGCCGACGAAGAAGACGAAGCAGACGAATCGCCGCTGCCGTTTTCCTCCTCCGCGGCAGCCACGTGTTCGGCGTCCGGTTCCTCTTCCTCGTCTTCAATATCCTCTCCGAAAACATCAACGTCTTGTTCCGAGAAATCCATGACGAAGAAGAACAAATAAGATCCTCCTCTTCCCACTGTAAGTCGGAGGTCTGGTGAGGGTTGGGATATGGGCGGCGGGGATCGGGGCGGCGTAAAAGCCAATAGCGGCACTAACGCACAGTTTGGGGATTTGATTGGAAGTCCGGGAAGGTGAAATGGCGATCCAGAGAAGAAAGTCTTTTTCGCTCCTAAATATCGAGTTTGCCCTACGAAGCGATTGGCTGAATTCCCTATAAGAAGTCCCCTACTCACTTCTAATTTCCCTTTCCCCCTTACCCTTTCAACCAATATAATATTTTAACCGATTCGAAATAATAATAGTGAATAAAATTAAGGGTCATATCCCTAAAAAAAAATTCTCTTTTTCAGTTTTTTTCTAAATTATATCTCTATTTTTAATTTTTCTCATTTAATTTATTTTATATCCTAAATGTCCCTTAGCACCTCTTTCTCGACATGGATACTATCGATCATTACTTCCATATGCAGCCTTCGTCTTATAGTATTCCACATACTCTTTTTTATCTTTTTCTTCACGTCACACTTTATGTTTTTGTTACTTGACTTGACTTTACATACGAATAAAATTACATGACTTTCTTTACGTCACTATTCAACTCACGCCTTTTATCACTCTCCTCTATCTTTATTCCTGGTGACACGCTCCAAAAGGAAAGTATGGAGCCTTCGTAAAAAAAGAAGCATCGATAACTCTTCCTTTAAATGAATGTGATTGAGTTGAATAGTGAGAATACGGAGGGACAAAAGGAATCAAGTGTTGAAATGAATAGAAATACGAGATGAAGGTACTAATGGACAATACTCACTCCGAAGAGGAGATAGCTAGAGACATTTAGGACATAAAAAAAAATCAATTGAAAAAAATTAAAAGCCAATTTTTTTTTAAGAAAATCATCCTAAAATTATACTTTTTTTTTTCATATTTTAGGCATCTATTTATTTGCAAAATTATAAATCATTTTATTTCTAAAAATTTTGTAAATAAATTATAATAGCTATTACATAAAGTTATTGATTTCTTGAGAAATAGACTTATGTATATTAATATTGTTTTATGTCATGATATTATGCATAACAATCATAGGAGGCACCCCACACAAGTTAAAATTTTGATCTTTACAAAACTTACGGTTCTATTAGATAAGATTATTTGAATCATCTTTTGCAACAACATGGATTTCTAATATCGTTTACAAGTTGAACACTACATTTACCATCAACATCAATGTTTCTATTGTTGGCTTTTTCTTTGAAAGCTTGAGAGGTGCCCCATAGTTTATGTTGAACAAGGCAACTATGCAACAACAAATTTAACCTTGTAAGCATTGCACTTTTCCTCTAGTCAATTACTTATTTTATTGATACTATTATATCCATTGGGATCCATATGGTACCGAGAGGAACGTGGATTATTGTAATTATAAACTTTAGAAAACTTTCAAATCTTATCAAAGCTAATTTAACTAAGAAATAAAGATGAATAGGAAAAAGATAAACTAATATATAGTGATTCGATCATTCTAATCTAAGTCTATTCGTGATTCTTATTTTCTTAAGGTCATCAACTTTTTGATCTTATTTTTAATGGATAAAAACTAATAATCTTTTTATAACTTTTTTTTTTACAACACTTAAGAGAGAATTCTTTACACTTGATCACTCTTCGTAATCTTATACCTTTTAAACTTAATAACTCAATTAGAAATTCAATATGGTGAAATTCAACCAAGGCTCTAAGAAAGAATTTCAACACTTTAAAGCTCAAATATTATTCCACTCAATCATCTTTGAAGTGAGATAATCATAGCCATCAGTGGCATTACTAGTGATACTACTATCGACATCACCAAAATAATGTCGCTCAAGCCTATGTTATTTTAGATAGTACCATCAACCTCTTTTGGACGATACCACCACTTATATAATGGTTTGGCCAGCTCAAATCCAATCCAAATTTACTCGACTTTTATTTTAACCTAACATAACACAAATATAATATAATTAAAGCCTAATTTCAATCCAAAATTATCTTTTAAAAAAAGGCTTCAAATCAATAATCATTTCTTCCATAATTTTATCAAAACTTTCGTCATGTTATTTGCTTATCCAGTATATTATTCAATCTTTTAACACATCTTTCAACACTTTATTCAAATCTTTAGCACGTTACTTAATCCTCCAACATATTAATTTTACTATGACATTCAATTTTTTGTCTCGATATCCGATATTCTGACATGATGCTTGAACCCGTAGTATAAAATTTTAATTTCAGCATAATAAACTTTTGGCACAATGTTTGACTCTATATTTGCTATTTGATAGTTATAGTCCATGTTAAAGTATTTCTACATCACTTAATATAATATTAATTTATTAAATTTATTAATTAATCTTATCATGAAGATTTGAGACTCAATGATATCTTTATTTATTTTTATAAACTTAATATTATGTTTGTTAAACAATCCATGATTTTTTTCGATTTGCCCTTAATGAAGATAGTGGCGGTAAACATCATCATTCAATGCTTTATACAAATCTAAAATCTTTCTTCGAAGGATGTCTAAATGAATTATAAATCTCTTTTCCCGAGCTACTATAAATTATAGTAACAATTCTTATAGTAAGATTTCTCGAGGTATTTTTAAACTTTTTTAATTATTTTTTATTATATTAAAAGAAAATATAAGACCCTGGATCTAAACATGAAATCTAGATGAGGTGTTAGCTCTGATAAAAAATTGTAACCTTCTAATTGATTTAGTTATATGCATAATTTTTCTCAAAAATCTTTTTTCCTTTAATTTTTAATTTTTCTATTCGAGATTACTATTTGTAACTTCCTTTTTATTATTTACAATTTCATCTTAATTATTTTTTAATATTTCTATTTTTTATAAATAAATGAAAATATCATCCTTTTTTTCTTCTATTTCTTTTTTTCTTCTTTTTTTTCTTCTCTGTCTTCTTTTCCTACATCGAGCAGCGACAACAATAGGGAGTAATATCGATATCGATGATGAAATAAGAGATTATTGGAAAGAAAAAAACCAGTAATATTTAGAGTGTAAATAATAAAATAAATATTACATTATTTTAAAAGATGGACGATAACGATGATGAAAAATATTTAGGATATTAAATAAAAAAAAGAACCAAATGAAAATAACTAAAAACATGGAGGTATTTTCGAGAAAAACTAAAAAAAAAAAAGATGAACTTGTCAGGAAAAATAAACCCGAAAATAGGAGACTCCATTGGTGTTACTATTTTGCTCTCTTGGAAAAGGTGTTTGGAATTGGAGTTTAGAATGGGGGTTTTGGCTGTGGTGTGGGGGGAGACGTGGAAGCTGGAGAAATCGATTCCGACCTAATAATCATTCCACCCTGTTTCGGCAATGGGGAAGATGATCGTTCGAAGCGCTGCCGGCGGTGGGAAGCTGATGGAGACGCTCCCCCAAGGACTAGTCCTGGAGATCATGGGGAGGCTCGACTTGGAGTCTCTCTGTTCCTTGGCTCCCGTCTGCAAAGCTCTCCGCTGCTCGGTCTCTCAGTCGTTCTCGTCTATCTCTACCCTCGATCTCTCCGTTAGTTCTCGAATCCCTCTTCTCTAGCAGGATATCCTCATTTTCTCCACTTATATTTCATGAAACCCTGCTAAAGTTGAAATCTTGTTGTGTTTTTATTTCTCTCGTCGAGAAATGTTACTAATGAAGCAAGTTATCTTTTTTTTTGGGATAAATAATTTTCTTCTTAGTAAGATGTCCCTGCTTATGCACGAATATGTATATGTGGTTTATAGCTGGGGGCTCTTGGCGCTCAATCTCTAGATTTTTATTTGTGTAGGAGGTTTTATAAAGTTTATGGAAAAACATTTACGTTCTAAACGATAATACCCGGATTGGTGTCACAGATTGACGCTTTTCTTCTTTCTTAATAAACACTGTTTTATGGTTTCCTCCATTTTCCTGCTAGAGACATTACAAGTAATTTTCCCCTCGAGAGAAAGGAATTAAAACATGGATAGCGTTTGTGTTAAAGATCATTTGGCTTCTTTCCTCTTCTCTGTTTATCTTATTAATGTATAGCGTGGAAATTCGTAATAGGGGTTGATTAGGTCGTGTAATCTTTATTAGCTTATTTTACCTTTTTTTTTAGCGAATGCCCTGTGTTATCCGCATTCTTTGTTCATTATAACAATCATGTCAAAGTAAAAGTTTCACTTTAAGAGATGAAATGAATACCAAAATAGAAGAAAAAAATAAAGAAACGAAAGAAAAGAAGGAAACAAATAAAAACAGAGAAACAAAAAAGATGAAGAAGAAGTTCAAAGATTGTTGCTATAGCTTCCAGCAAAAGTTAGTTTCTTCTTGAGGTAGTCTCAAGATCAATATTCATCTGCTTTGATTTATTTCTGAATATATGATTATTTCTATGTTTCCAAATAAACCAGAATCTCACAAACTCGATGAATTTTATACCACTCTCTAATTGATTAATTTTCTGGGGTTGAATTCAATCCATTTAGTTTTCTCTAAAAAGAAGCTATTAGTTCCTTGTTAATCATGTTAGTAACTGAAACATATTTTTAACTTCATTCAAATTAACTGTTGGATCACAAAAATGTTGGTATTTAGTTGGAGAGTTGGAATGTAATGGGATATTTAGTCTTTACATACTTGTTCTTTTCAGCAGCAACATAGATGTATCATTCATTCGTTGACTCCTCTGATTTCTTATTTTTTACTTAATGTTATTTAAAGCACATATTCTTGAACTTTTAGAGTGGTAAATGTAGAATCTTGATCTTACCCACTGCTTTATCTTCTTCCCTTTTTTATCTTCTTTCTTTTTCTCCTATCTGACATTTATCTATGTTCAGCTGTTCTATTTCTCTTCTTTCATGGTGTTAAGCTGAATTTTAATGCTCAAGTATAATGTATTACTTCTGTCGGTATTTATTTAGGTTCAGCTTTTGATTTCTCTTTTTCGCATGGTTTTAAGCTTAAAATTAATTCTGAAGCATGATGTATAACTTTTGTTGGTCCTCATTATAGGATTTGTCTCCCACCACCTGGGTTCTTAATAGAATCCTCAGCAATAATAAAGTCCTCAAAACTCTTATTCTTGATTGTAGACGGCTTGATGATTATTCAGTCGAAGTCTTCGCCAAAGAAAGTATCCAAGAACTTGTTCTGTTGAGGTGCTTCATGTTTTCTTCTTTTGTTTTTACTGCTATAGCAGAGAAATGTCCCAAAATAAGGTATAAATCTAAGTTTACACAAATTTGGTTGAATGTTCTGATGGATTGTTGATTTTACTTGTTCAGCTGAACTACTTAATTAATAATTCTGTTATTTATCATTCATAATAAAAAATAACTAAATTTTAATTGTGATGAGTTTTTATCCTCATAAGGAAAAAATATTACCACAAATCACTGATATTAGAATCCTCTATCTCTATGTTGCAAAGTTTTTAAAACCAGGAAAAACCTATGTCAAATATATAATCAATTTGGATTCAAGTTCATTGTCAACTGAGCCATTAGTGCTGAGACAATAAGTTCGTGAAACCAAATTGTCCGTGGTTGTTGTCAACACTTATGATAGTGATCCAATATTCATGGCATTTCAACATATTTGAGCAAGAAAGCTCACTAGGGTTGAGTCTCACAACAGTTTTGGATGTAATTGTCATGGCTAAACCCTTGGAAGACTATTATAGGCTACAAGAGGTGGAAGTAGCAGCTTACCTGGACTGTTGCAAACTTGGTCAATTTTTAGTTGGAATAGGTGTAGAAAAGATGCTTTCCAACCCACTCTTAATCGAGTTAGGAAAGGTGATGGGAGGACACTAGGATACAATTTTTTACTTTTAGTTATTTTGGATTGATTAAGGATGAGTTTTAGTGGTATATTGAGGTTGCTCCTTTACAACATAAGTTACTAGGGTTCAATCGCAAAAATTGGCTCCTTCTTTACTTACCGATATAGGTGTGGCCATCGATCCTCCTTAGACTTGCATTAACAATGACAATGTGTATCAAGGCTTTCTTTAATTATGGAAATTATTTTCCTATTATGAGTCATATTTTTAGAGTCTTTTGTCTCTTTGGGTAGGATGTTGTAGGGTGACAAGTATAAGTCTTCTTCCACAACTATAAATAGGAATTCTTGCAAGTGCAAGAGGTTATGCTTGTAAACTCATTATTTATTTTGTCTTTATTTTAGTGATAGCTTAAAAGCTATATCTTTTTTGTTTTATCTAATTTTTTTAGGAGGCCAATTCTAATCGAATATGAGAATACCTGATAAGAGTCTATCCTAGCGGATAGCCTCTTATTACTTTAGTCAGTTAGTGTCAAGGTGGTAGTTGTTTTTTTTTTTTCTTTTCGTGCAAACGGTAAGTGACGAAGGTGAATTTTTGATCTTAGTCTTTACCAACTAAACTGGCTAACATTTTAAAAAATTTGTAAGATGAAGTTTCAAACTTTTATCCTAAGGTAAGTCTATTGAATACACCACCATCAGACTATTTGTTTATTTATAAAATTTATATAAGAGATTACAAACCTTGTCTAAATGAGTCAGATAACCCACCATCAAATTAATGTTTTAGATGTTAAAACTTATTAAATGAAGGTTCAAACGCTCTACTATTTGTCTTGATGTAAGTGGATTGGATATGCCACCATCAAACTACTTGTCTTGATGTAAAAACTTACTGGATGAATTTTTGAGTATATTAGTACCGGATTAATTTCTTAGATGTAATTGATATAATAAAAATTCAAAGCATCAACTTAAGATAAGCAAGGTATTCCACTACCATACAATGGTATAGGTGTTTAAAATTGTATGACGATGATCCAGACCCTCAACCATCACTAGACTAATTATTTAGGTGTTAAAATTCATAGGATGAAGAATAAAAAAGGTAAGTGACTCGGCATGCCACCACCATACTAATTATTTAGGTGTCTAATTTGCAGGATGATCCAACCTAAGATAAGTGAATTAGGTCATCACTATTCCAACTGTTTAGGTGTGAAATCTGTTGCATGAGATTGAGTCCTTAACCTAAGATAAGATAAATTAAGTATATCATCACTAAACTAATATTTTAGGTGTAGCAAAAATATGACTCAAAAATACCTGTACCACACTAATGCTTGAGAATCTGATTGTGATGTCCGCAAATCTTCACACTCCATTCTTGCCCAATGTACTATGAACAATGGTCTTTTCTCTATGTTGCAGCGAGTGTTGACTTCCTTGGCAATTTTAATGATGCTTTTAATGTTGTCAATAGCTGTGGCATGCTTGTTCGTTGGATTTACTTTTTATGTGTACCGTTTAGAAGCTTTCTAGAGGGTGCCAATATATTAATGAATTTATAGGGACTATTTTTGCGGTGACTTTCCATCAACATTTTTCCTAACTTCATCTAGTTGGATAACAGTGTTAAGTATTTTGTGGGCTCCCTGTGTTGTGATAATGTCTTAAAATGTGACTTTTGGGTAATGCTGTAACATGAAAATTCTCTTGAATACTTTTTTTCAACTCATTTTATTGTGCAAGTTTGGATCATTTGTCTAATACCAATATCAACTTAATTCTGATCTAGGCAGCGATCTGGATCAGTATCAATCAATACCTGATCCTATCACCTCTTAGATATATTTTGTACCCACTTCGAACTTTATGATATTTTTGCAACCTTTTATCAATCATGCAACAAAAAAATCAAAGCATATAGTAACTAAAAATTCTAGAATTAGTACACAATTTCAATCATAAAGATCTTGTTCAAACAGAGAAAATAATTTCTCTGGGGTACAAAGTTAAGGCTGCACAGACTGATCCTTCCCAATTTCCATATTGATAAGATCCTCATGCATTAGACTGCTCTTTAGGATTTTTTTTCTTAAAACACGAGACATGTGTTAGTCATAAAACATAAGATTACAGATCATGGTTCTGCAACATAAAAATCAAGGAATAGCATGCATATATTGTCCTCTCCTAGTAACTTCACTCATTAGTTATGTATGACACTGTAAATACACTTACACCACAAAGTTTTGAAATCTTAGTCTTTAGTTTTGAAAATTGGCCATTGGAGAATTGGTAATTATGATAGATGCTATTGTAGGCAAGGTAACTTCAAGGCTCATCGGTCATCACATATATTATACCACTATATTATCTTGTAGATTGAGAAAGTTTGTGCGCTATTTATTCTTTTAGTCATCATTCCCTTTCATTATGTTCGTGTGCTATACATGTCGTCATTTCACATAACGTGAAGCAATAGCTTATATCCTACAACTCTCTCTCTCTCTCTCTCTCTTACACCCACATTTTTTTCATGTCAGGATGTTCACAGTTGAAATGAGACAAGCCAATGAACATGAATCAGCTGGTTCCTGCCATAAGGCCATAGGACAGATGCTTGATAGGTGCTTGTACTTGGAGGTGAATATTTGACTAAAGATTCATAATTTCTACTTGTTGAATAATCAATATACTACTTCTGTAACCAGAAGAGTTGTCTTAACTTTGATCTACTGAATTTGCATCTGCTGTTCTGCAGTCTGTGAGTATAAAATTCCATGCTGACTATTCTCATTCCGGTAATATTTCTTCCATCCAACTGACCCTCCCCAAAAATGTCAAAGCATTGCTGTTGCAGCCTATATCGGATTGGCAAGCAAAGGTGCTTATCCAGAACATTGGAGTTGATGGAGGATCACATTCATCCTTAGCTGGTGTTGGCATATCCTCTTTCGAGCCCATGTTTCATTGGCTGCAGTCATTATCTCTTGTTTTAAATAATATAACAGATGAACTTATCTTCAACATCACGAATAATCTTCACCAATTGGTTGAGCTATGCCTTGAAGACAATCCACCAGAGGAGCCTTCTTTGATGAATGACCTAACCAACGGCGGACTTCAGTCACTTGGCACTTTTAGGAATTTGATTGGTCTATCTCTTTCGCGTAATAGGAGTTCACTGACCACTTTCAAAAGGGTAAATGATATTGGTATTCTTGTACTTGCTGAAGGATGTAAAAGACTTGAATCAGTAAGACTTGGTGGGTTCTCTAAAGTTACTGATGCTGGCTATGTTTCTATTCTTCATTCTTGCAAGAATCTGAAGAGACTTCAAATTGTGAATGCTTTTTTCTTGTCGGATTTGGCATTTCATGATCTTGCTGATGCTCCAAACTCCCTTGTCGAGGTGAGATTGATTTCGTGCAATCTTATTACTGGTGAAACTGCAGAGTCTCTTTCTGTATGCAGAAATTTACAAGTGTTGGACTTCTCTGGCTGCAAAAGCATTGCAGATATTGGGCTGAACTCAATATCTAGACTGTCTAAGCTGACTACATTGGATCTTTGTGGAGCTGACATTACTGATAGTGGCTTGTCAGCTCTTGGTGGTGGGAGTTCCCCAATTGTGTCTTTGTGTCTTAGGGGTTGCAAAAGGATCACTGATAGGGGCATAGTTATGATGCTGCATGGTGATGGTGTTCTTGGTAACACGTTGTTAACACTTGATTTGGGTTACCTTCCTGGAGTATCAGACACAGCTGTGGTTGCAGTTGCAAAAGTTTGCAGGCAAATCATCAACCTATGTATCAGAAACTGTTTTGCTGTCACCGACACATCTATCTCTGCTTTGGGTTCACCCGAAAGATCTGAAGGAAAAAGATCACTCAGAAAACTTGACTTGTATAACTGTTGTGGGTTGTCCGCTGTTTCATTCAGGTTGCTGAGGGGTCCTTTTTTTTGTGGTCTCCGATGGCTTGGTGTTGGAAGCACCAAGTTATTGGCGGACGGCAAGTATAGATTCATAGAACTTGGTATTGAAAGACCTGGGCTAAGCATATGTATTAGTGGCTGTGAGATTGGCTGCAAGGATGGCTGGCAATGCCATGAATGTATCTGACATAAAGGTGTTGTAAAGATTAACTTGTCTAATTGTTACTGCTTGTACTGCTGGCAAAAATGTTAGATAAATTATTGGGTTTTACATTACAGCTTCAGTCTCCAGGGTTGATAACTAAATCCTATGGTGTTTCTTTATTGATTTGCCAAAACATAGTTTATTTTTAATTATATTTAATTTTGATATTTTATATTATAATTAGTTATTCTTAGCATTTTAATTTTTATATTTTTAAAGATTATATTGAGATTTTTATGTTTTTATTATCGATTCTGTCGTTTTATGATATTTTTATTAGTAGAATCGATAATATGAAACAAAATTAAATATTATTTAATATTTTATTTTTATAAATATAAATATTTTATATAAAGATTTAAATATAATTTTTGAAAATATAAAAAAAATATTTTATTTTCATAATGACATGCGACATGAGATTACAATTTCTTAGAAATCTTCATTTACTAGTGGGTCGGATCGGGTATAGTTCTTACTAGCCCGTCACAGAACCAACCCACCCCGTTCCCACCCAACCATTCTTCCGTTTCACTGTATTCATAGAACTTCCACCACCGTCTCCCGATAACAATTCTGCTGCTATGGCCATGCTCTTACCACGCCCCGTCTCTTCTCTCGCTCCCCGCGTTCCTCGCTACCTGCTTCCCTCGAGGCTTAATAGCCGGAGGAGGAAATCTGTTTACGTCGTGCAAGCGTCGTGGCAAGAGGTTTTACTTCTCTCCTCTCTTTCTCTCTCTGTTCTGCTGCACTCTTCCCACCGATCGAGGGGATCCCTAACCCTCGCGGTGGTCGCGTCGCGCTCCGATCTCTTGACTTTCGAATTACAACAAGACAATTTCTCATCTCCAGTGGTTTCAGCTTGCAGGGGTCCTCATCTTCTCTGCGATCCCTTTCACCGCGGTGAAGGCCGTCGCCAATAGCTCCCTGGGAGAAAAGCTCCGTCGGCAACTCAGTGAAACCAAGAGGGACGCCGTGGAGAAGTCATTGAGGTTTAAAGCCCTCGCTCAAAAGGCCAGAGAAGCGAGGTATTTGACCATTTCTTGATTGGTTACAATGTGTTGGTGGCGACGGATTTGTACACAGCAATAAAAAAGAGCTCACCGCTGATTGCACATCTAAGATCTTCAAACCAGTTTTTCCATTCTCTTCTTTGGGGATAAGGAAAGTGGTATCAAAGTTTTGCCATTCTCTGTGGTCTTTTTTTTTACATGAAAAATCATGTGAGTAGAATTATTTGTATTAATTTTTCCAAACGAAAAACTCTATTCACTTTATTTCTGTGCCCTTTTTGGATGCTATAATCTCCAATACCTCCCCCTCATGGTTGAGGCTATAGCAAACGAGGTACATTTGTAATTGAGAAATTCATCTGGATGTTGCTCCAAATGCCATATCTTGATTTGTCTTCAAGCTTCTTATTTGGAGCTTGTACAACTAATGCAATTAAAGTGCCAACCTTTTATATTATCTTTATGGTGTTGCGTGGACTTGATAATCCTTGAATATGGAGCCTATATTATTTATACAGCAAAAATCTTAAAAGTTGTACAAAGTAAATTGGAGCATAGCAGGATATACTTTGGGTGTGCATGGTTTCCTATTGTTTATCTGTTTATATCTATTGAATTATGGTAAATTATCCTGGTCCAATATTATCCAGTTTTTTCTTTCAGTTGGCTTTGTAATTATAGGAAGAAACCCATTAAAATTTACAGTTAAGCATTCACAGCTTTATCAAGCTTTTACACCAGGATATAAGAATGCCATCACCTAATTAAAGATTTCAACTATTTTTTCAGTTCTTGGTATGGGCGTGAACGTCCTTGCTGGCTTGGTCCTATTCCATACAAGTACCCATCTTACCTTACAGGAGAGCTTCCTGGTGATTATGGCTTTGACGTTGCAGGTCTGGGCAAGGATCCTGTGGCTTTGCAGAAGTACTTTAAGTAGGTGAACTATGTATCACTCATCAAAAGACCATTGCCTTTCTTCATAGCTCACCTGGTGGCACAAAGATAATTTCTTATTTATCTCTCATATGAAAGAGAACAAGATCTTTTATTATTCCTGGTGATTATTACATAGCACATTTCTCTGTTAACTCTTTGATCTTTGTTTTCTTATTGATTTATGATTTGTTTATTTTTCTTGAATAGTCTTATACCATAAATACATATGATTTCACACTTAAACATTCAGCTTAATTTATAATTTCAGACTGGTTATCAACATCTGTAAGTGCAATTTTCATTAATGTCCCTGTGGAAGTTGTAATTTAGATGGATTCCTTCAAAACTTGAAATGTGACCCTTTATATGATAATATTTATGTAAGGCTAGAGTGAGGATATAGACATGAAGATCATAAGGATGTCTGGTAACTCAGCTGGTAAAGAATTTGACCTAGATAGCAAGGTCTTGGGATTGAATCCTGTCTTCACCACTTCTCTTTTTCTAAAAGCGAGAGCTCATTTCAAGGTTTTGAGTCCTAAATCCAGTAATAGAAGATAAATTAGTTCTACAAGATGCATTTCAGAAGAATGTGGTTGCATGATCTAGTTACTAAATATTGCACTTTGACAGTTTTGTTTAGTTAATTAAACATTAACTAAATGGAAACCTGTGTATGTATCTGGTGCAAGAGCAAAAGCTCAATGATCCATTTTCCAAAAGGTAGAATAAAAAGCTGAAACAGAAGGGTATTTATCACAGGAAGAAGAAGTCAATTAGACAAATGGCTGGAGATGGATCTAATGTGGTCGGCAACCATGACATGGTGTCATCATGAGATTTGCTACATGCACAATTGGCACATGAACGTGTTGAATCAGGAATGAAATTGGAGGTCTAAATCTTTGATTAAAGGCTCTATAGTAAAAGAATATGGATGTGATTGAACTTATTCTTTGATATATAATTCATGAAAGAAAAGAAAATCTAATTAGCTTGAGTGAAATCAATTATCAAGAACATATAATATGATGGAGCTAATTTAAAATAAAGAAAAAAATATGAAAGAAGAGTACATGAATAGGACACGCTGAGATTTTAGTAAAAGGATAGAAGTAAAGGAAAAGGGAGTTTGCCCATTTGATTTTGCCTTTTCTTTTGAGTGGCATGATATGATGGATAGAAGGAACCGAGAGAAAATATTGGCCCTGGAAGCTTGTAACATGGGACATGTAGACTTGAAAAATCTCAAGCATTGATGAAAGATAATTAGAACAGGAATTCTAGATATTAGGGAGAATGAATTAAGAAGATGGCTTGAGAAATAAAAAAGAAAATGGAGTTTGTGAATTGAAATTTATTATGCAAAATCCAAAGCAATTGAAATAACTTGCAAAATCCAAGCAATTTGACTCAGCTGAATGTACAGTTTATGATTTGACATCATAGATTTTACCCGAATAGTCATGAATTTTGCTTGATGCAACCTATTGGTAGAAAAGATATTATGTTGAAAGAGTTCAAGTAATAAAATGGTATAGTAAGTGCCAAATATTAATAGAAATAAAGATATTCTCTTCACATTGTAGAAAGTTGATACTCTAAGGACATGAAGATATATTAGACTTATATATTACTGTTTTTTTTTGGGAATGAAGAGGCATTATAACAATTGACATGATTTGGTGAAATAAAATATCTTTGTGATTGAGAAGTGATGTTGCACTTTTTTTGTTGACTTCTCATGAATTATGGAAATGTGACGAGATGGCCTTGTAGTTATTCTAGTAATTGTTGATGAAATTACAATGTATTAAACATCTTGTTTGAAAAGTTTTAATCATTACGTTGGCAAGATTTGAAGCTGTAGAAGTCAAGAGGCCAGTTTGTAGGAATTTATATGGTTCTGATTTAATTCTAACCATTCCTATGGAATTGAAAAAGAATTCAAATAATGATGGTAGTATTTTATGGTTTATATAATTCTTTAAAAGAGCTGGAGTTACCAAAAGTTAATTGACAGCTGGATGTGTATAAAAGTGAGTCATAGTTACTCATAGAAATCTTGCTTAGTAGTTATGATTAAAAAGTATAGTATTTGGTACAACTAAAATACCACTTTAGTTAGAGTTGTAGAACAGACTGCTAAAATTCAAATCTAAATGGAAATTAGTTGCAACTATTTGCATTAACTGGGTGGGAATTGAAGACATATCATTCTTGATAATCATGATTGAAGACAAAGAACTTTAGTTGTATATAATCTTTGGTATAACTAAAATTTGACCATAGTTATGAGTTGTATAACAAAATACTAAGAGCCAAATGTGAGTGGAAATAAATCACAAATTATTTATCATGTATAGATGATAAATAAAGAGACACCATATTTATGTTGCATTTGGTAATACATTTGTATTCTTAATGTGCATTTGGAGAATGGAGTTTGAGTGAATGTACAGTTGTGGAATACTTTAAGTGTTTGATAAGCAGTAGATGAAAACTGTATTTTAAATCTGCATTGACATAAATGTTGTTTGGTAAGATTGTTTTTCAAAAGTCCATTGAATATTATGTGATAAATTTATCCTTCTAATATTTTTAATATTTATTGAAAGGTAAATGCATATATTTTCATTTAAATAAATAAATATATAAAATAATAAATGAATGTATATAATCTTACAAAATTTTGTATGGCCTAGATATATAATAAATAAAAAATATAACCATATAAATGAATGCAAAATAAATTTTAAAAATAAATAACTAAAATTTTAGACTTATGAGAAAAGAGGCGATGACATAAATTGAGAGAATGGATGAGGAAATGAGGGTTATGATTTTTTGGGGTAATCTTATGACTTTGGATAACGTCATAGGGTCCTTTGGGAATTTGAAAATTATATGGCTTTTCGCAAATGCTGATATGCTAATACTATCCTAAGGTAACATCAATATTTGGGCATTTTTAATGCAGCATCTAGGCCAGATATGATTATTAAAAAGTTTACCAAGCACCAATTCACATTTGAAATGTGCATCGGGCTGTCAATGCACATTTCAATTGTATTCTCAAACACAACCTTAATAGTCATGATCAAAGGAAATGAGCTTTTGTTGGTTG